GGGACAGAAGTATGAACTTCTAATCAACTTCTTAAAGTTTCCATAACTCCAATCTGCGCACGCGCGCACACACACACACACACACACACACACACACACACACACACACACACACACACACACACACACACACACACTCAGAGAACCTGTCACATATAAATCTCCCAGAATGCAACGCTCAGAGAAAAAGCACCAAAAGGATACATGTGTCTGGTCGATCATGCACTTGCAGAGTGTGAAGTCGGTGTGTGGCAGGTTGGTCAGCGCCTTCAGCAGAATCTGTGAGGTCACTTGAGTCTGGAAGTATGCTGGATTAAACTGGTACCTGCACAGATGTCAAGATTAGAGTCATCACCACTCAAACATCAAGGTATCCAACAGGTAAATCAAATAAAGACCATTCTGGTATATTCCTAAGAGCTGCCTCTGTCCCCAAATTATTTAAAGTCGATAATATTTTTAGCAGTGTGTAAAAGTCGCTTTTTTTCCTACCGAAGGCAAATCTGCTGCTTCCTGGAGCCGACATCCAGCAGTAGAGGCAGGCTGGCAGAGACTGAGCTGCCTTTGTTTTATGATCAGAATCAGGCCATAGTCAGGGCTTGACTCCCCTATTGGATAAAACTTCCTCCACCTATTTTTTTTTTTCTATCATTAAATTTTTTTTTAATTTATTTATATTTTAAAAAAATCCAGTGTCTTAAAGTCGAATAGCTGCTGTTTGGGTAACTTATGTAACTTACAGCTTGAGCACAGCAAGGTTTGCTTCCAGGTCGTAGGCATTTTCTCTCGCTTGCGTCTCCACGTAGCGCTCCAGCGTTGCAAGGTTTTCTGGGTTGTACCTGTGAGGGGAGATGAGATTATTATCCATAAATAAAAGCAAATGTTTCAGTGCTTTTTTTCCATTTATGTGCTTATAAGCTTAAAATATGTTTGTCGAGAGTTGCACTACATCTTCAGGATAACCCTGATTCTACATTGGGTTCCCACGCTGTGGAAGAGGTCATGCCATCCCAGTGGCCCTGATATTGTGTATTATGAATACTCTGGAGATATTAATCCTAGACCAGCCCCGGCACGTGATCAGCCCACTGATGGATCCCTCTGCAGTTTATCTACCAGCCCAGACGAGGACGCCAGTCTCTACCTGCTCAGCCAGGTCTACAAAGCTAGCAAGCATTGTGAGAGTTTTTGTGTATTGTTTTTTTTAACCTTTTCAGTGCCTTCAAAACCATCAAACCAACCGTACTTGATATCAAACTAACTGGGGTCAGCTGCATGCTTCCCTGGATAGTTGAAACCACAGAGTGTGTGTCTGCAGCACTGTATGCCAGACAGCGTGGCTAGCGAAATTCAGACACTACTGGACAAATATTCGCAGGTCCTCCATTCAAACTGGAAAGCAACAGGAGCACATTTAGCAAAAGATAATCCATCACAGAACACCATGAGAAATCCTTCCCACCTGTGGCCAACAAACTTTACGACTCCTCCTTATGACATCTGGGCTTTCTTAAATCGCCATATCTTATTTGCACCTTACTTTTTTCCCTTGTTTTTTTTTTTTTTTTAAATATAGCGTTTACAATTTCCTGTCTTTTACGTTTATATCTTAACTGGGCCTCTATAACAGGGGTCCCCCAATCCCAGTCCACGAGGGCCGGTGTCCCTGCAGGTTTTAGATGTGTCCTTGATCCATCACAGCTGATTTAAATGGATAAATCACCTCCTCAACATGTCTTGAAGTTCTCCAGAGGCCTGGTAATGAACTAATCATGTGATTCAGGTGTGTTGACCCAGGGTAAGATCTAAAACCCGCAGGGACACCGGCCCCTGTGGACTGGGATTGGGGACCCCTGCTCTATAACAAAGCAATTGTCTTGGGTTAGTAAGGTATTATGATTACAAATTAGTTATCATTTCAAATCATAGACGGTGGAAAGGTCCACCAGTTGAGCCTCAGGTGACAACAGCTGCGTAAATGGTTAATTTTCTGTGTGAAAGCAGAAAATGAACCCTGGGCTGATGAAAACAATCCTTTTCATGCAGTAAATGACTTCCTTTGTGTGAAATATCTTTGATCGCCGCTTTTAACCTGAATGAATCGTTAATGTCCATCTAATGAAAATCAGTAAACAACAATATACCGCAGAAGCCAGGGTTTCTCCCTTTATGACCAATACAAATTGTCTACAGTTCAATGGAGCAAACCCGGCTAATGCTAGCAGCTGTATAAATCCAACACGAACATTAAACATATTTTATCCAATATTTGTTAACTCTGACTTATTATTTCTTTAATATAATGTTGGTGTAATTAACCAACAATAAAACTCGTTTAATGAGGCATCAAGCTTCCCTGCATGGGCTAGCCACCACTGACTCACTGCACCAAACGTTAGCTTGCGATATTAGCAACCAGGCTAAGCTGTTAGCTCGGTCTGCTGTTGTTCTTTGTACCTGTCGATTCCTCTGAGAAGCTTCCCCACGTTCGCCCTCATCTGCTCGATAGACGACGCCATTTGGTCCAAACTTTTACTTGGTTTTTTTAAGCTAAAAACCCGAATTAACGCCGCACGTGGGCCGCAAAGTGAAACGGCACCGGGGCGGAGGGAGAAAAAGGTCGGACCGGAAGTGTTGATGGACCGGTACGCTAACCGTAATGCCGGAGCAAAGCCCTGTGGAAAGTCGTTCCGTGAACTTTGTCCGTCATAATTTTCATAAACGTTTCAAAAACATATGTTTAGTCCGATCGTTGTTTTAGCAAAAGTAAAACTAGTGTCGGCACTCAGCAGGCGCCTCATCCAGGCGTTTTAAACATTGTCTAAATAAACAAATAAATAAATAACACATTAAAAAAATAATTACATCAATAAAAAACTTCATTGATCGCCAAACAACAGAAAAAGACCTTTCCTGTTTGAAACTGAAACTACTACATGAACTGCGTGGTTCTTCTACTTTTGACTTTAATTTTCCGCATATACTTTTACATAACAAGTACAGTTAGGAAAACTTACTGCTCTCTACAGGGGCCGCTGCAGCAGATCTGCTGCCTTTTTAGGATCCTTCCTCTTTTCCTCTTGCCTGGCAGCTCCATCTTCAACATCTTTTGTCCAGTATATCCATTGTTCCTTCCCTACACAAGTCTAAATCTTCTCAGCCTTGCCTCTCTCAGAATCAGAAAACTTTATTAATCCCTAAAGAAATTATGTGGTTACATAATTTCCTTTTCAGATGTCCCTCTGATTTAATTATCTTTCTGTCTATCTTCAGCGCAACCTCCTGTTTCTTTTTCATTTCCACTGTCTCCAAACTATACATACTTTGGTGTCTGAGGAGGATGTGCAGAAGTGCTTCAGACAGGGGAACGCACTGGTCCTGACGGGATTGTCTGTCGTGTCCTCAAGTTATCCGTGGCTCAGCTGGCTGGAGTGTTCACAAATATCTACTGCTCCCTCTCTCTTTCTGTGATCCCAGCCTGCTTCAAAATGGCCACCATCTTCCTTGTACCCATGCTTTGAGAGACTGGTCAGGAACGTCATCTGCTCTGCACTACCCAAATCAATGGACCAATTTGCATACCACCACAACAGGTCCACTGATGACGCCGTAGCCCTGACACTAAGTACTGCCCTCTTGCACCTGGAGAGAAGAGACACATTTGTGAGAATGCTGTTTGTAGATTACAGCTCAGCATTCAATACCATTCTTTCCTCAATGGAAACTGCAGGATCTAGGACTGAGCAGCTCTCTCTGCAGCTGGATCCTTAACTTCCTGTCTGACAGACACCAAGTAGTCAGACGTGGCAGCATCACCTCATCACCTGCCATAATGAACACTGGTGCTCCACTGGGGTGTGTACTGAGCCCTCTCCTGTACTCACTCTACACCTACAACTGCACGGCCACTAGCAACTCCAACATCATTGCAAAGTAATTGAAAAGTGAGCCCCAGCATCCTCAAAACCTTCTACTGTTGTACCATTGAGAGCATCCTCACTAGATGCATCACTTCTTGATATGGCAACAGCACTACCTACAACCTCAAAGCTCTCCACAGAGTGGTGCGCTGTCCTGAAAGGATAATTGGAGGTGAGCTTCCCTCCCTCTAGGACATCTACAAGAAGCAGTGCCTGACCACAGCAGGGAGGATCATCAAGGACTCCAGTCACTCCAGCCATAAACTGTTCAAACTACTTCCATCAGGCAGGAGGTTCTGGTCATGAACTGGCAGACTGAGAGACAGCTTTTTCCATCAGGCCACCAGACTGCTGAACACTGACCACTAACACTTCATAGACACTTCACTTTCACTTATCGAAACTTAAACTCCATAAACTCCATAAACATAAACTCCATATTGCAAAATATTCATCTGCTGACTTCTGCACATGTTATACATATGTATATACACGTGTATATATATGTATGTATATATATTTGGTATGAATATTTAGTAATGTGCACACATTCTCATATTTGTACATATATTTATGCTTATGTTTCTCATATTTATTATTCGTAGATTTTGTTTTTTATATTTCCTGGATTGTGCACACCACTGTTGCTTGTGAAGCTGCACACAAGAATTTAACTCACATGTGCTGAACCAGTGTACCAGCACATGTGATGTGACAATAAAATTGATTTGATCCACCCACCCACTCCACCCTGTCTGCACTCTCTTTACTGTCTGTTACCCAGGTATTTAGACCATCCCTGCTCCTTGCATCTTCACCTTCCCACCTGCCTCCCTCACATTCAAACACATGTAATCTGTCTTTCTTCTACTGATTTCCATTCCTCTTTATGTCCAGAGCATACTTCCACATCTTCAGACTGTCTTTCACTTGCTCCCTACTCTCACTACAGACTTTAGCCAGAATTCCGTTACTTTAAAATTCAGCACGTGTTGCTTGCTAGAACACCTTTAGTGATTTTTAACATCTAATTTAACTAATTTCACCTAAACAGTCTGATGTTACCATCAGAACTATTCATGCTCTGTGTCAGCTGAATACACGACTTTATCTGAGTGTTTTGGACTTGAATAAAATACCTTAATTCAAGGCAGGGGACCAGGAGTGTTATGGCTAATGAAACAAAGCTTTTAGGTCAATTGAGGCTCTTTTGGATAAATATCATGCAGGTTTCTTTAAATAAATTTTCTCTTAATCCATCAAAAATAATGGCAAAGTCTCTCAGTAGTGACTAAACCTCTTTAGTCGTAGATATGAAAACCTAAGATTTAAAATTATTTAGAATTTCCGACATAATGATCGAACAAATTGAGAACAGCAGAGCATTATTTGAGAAGAGGCTGCATTAAGCATCTATATGCAGTCTTTTCGTTTGCTTTGTATTTTAGATAAACTGTTTACATGACAGACATACTAACAGCTATTATTGCTTATATGTCAGAACTGAGTATATTTTATATAACATATATTGATTAACCTTAACGGCTGATGAGTAGTTTGTTAAGTCAAAATCAGGACTAGTGCGCATGCTCAAACCCAGGTGCCGTTAGCTTGACTCGCTACAGTTTGACGCCACCTGAGCATCAATTAGCAGGTTGGAGGAGACTTTTAGTAAGTCAATTTCTACCTAATAACTTTATAATTTATAATTATTAGTTCACATTGAGACCACCAATTAAAAAAACACCCTTTCTGTTTTTCGGGTAGTATTTAAAAGGTTTGTTTGGGTTTACCAACTCACGGCTCTTCATGGATTTGTGGGGTGAGGAGGTCTCAACCACAGTCGCCATTTTCGTGATAATGACTTCTTCCTCACACCAGGCGCGCCTGCAGAATATTTATAGCGTGTTTAGTTCTCAGACAGATGGATTTACGGGAGACTTTTATGAAGTTTGTTGACTCAAAGTATGTGCTAACTTTACTTTGTCGCATGTTAGCGGTAGGATGTTGTCAGACTTTGACTGGTATCTGCTGCTGTCATGTAGAGGGTGTTCTGCAAGGAAAACTCGAGCCAGAACAAAAAGAGAAAGATTTGCGTTAATATTTGCGGTTTGTCACCGAGTGGTTAATTTTTTTCTTAAGAGCATGTAACATAAAGAGTGTAGTTCGCCCTCCGCGCCACCAGAGACCGCTAGTAAAGTTTTTTTTCTTAACGAGAAAAATAAAAACATTAATTTACTTTACCGGAAATTTATTCCGTTTAATGAAGTTAAAATAACACTCATATTTAGCGTGATAAGCGTGAGTGTTGGCATGAATGTAAACTAAATTTATTATGTTTATTTCTTGTTTTTTGCTTTTCTGCTTCCTATTGGACTAAAGCGTACTACGTGTCTAAGAAGACAGAAGAAGGTATATTTGCTAAAGCTAGCAGATTCAAATAACATACATCGACATTACACTGGTTATACGTTATCTAATGATCTCATGGTTGCTGTTTTATACGATGGCCTGAAATGGCGAGCGGTTTAGTTTCCGAACCGTGAGTGAGGGAGACTGTGCGGGGAGTGACTCCGTCTGCTCCGACGTATTCCCGGTATCGCTTCTCGGCCTTTTGGCTAAGATCAAGTGTAGTATCTGTTCTTATCAGTTTAATATCTGATACGTCCCCTACCCGGGGACCATATATTAAATTGATTTTTGGAACAGGGAGATGGAATAGGGGCTTGCTCCGTCCACTCCACGCATCGACCTGGTATTGCAGTATCTCCAGGAACGGTGCACCCCCCTAAACATGTGGAAAAACAGTAAAAGTTTGTCTAGGTGGCCACAGCAGCAGTGTAACTGAGAATCCTCGCGGTTTCTTGTGGCTGATCACCAATTTGCAATATTAGGTTATTATATTAAGTTGCAACACACCAACAATGCAAACACATAGTTGCTGCAGAAAAAGCAGCACACTCTTCCATCTACAGTGGGAAACAAAACCACATCTACATTTATTGTCTTTAAGTCTTCTATTGATCATTTTCCAATATCCTTTTCTATATATTGGCACATTTATTTCAGTAGAAACAGAAAGCAGCTTGTGATTT